GAAAACACCCCCAGTTTGCCAAAATCCAGCAAATTCCCCTGAAATATCCTTAGGGAAAAGCTCCAGCATTCCCATGGGAGGTGCAGGAGAGCAAAGCACAGAGGATCCCACATCTCCCACCACCCCCAGAGGTTTCACTGGGGAAAAATGGGGAAATTTCAGGGAGTTTGGGTAATATTCCCTGTGGATTCACTTATTCCCTGTGGATTCACTGAACCACCGATCCCCAGGGAGAAATTGGAATTTTCCACCCATCTGGTGGAATTAAAAGGATGAAATCTCAGTTGGACCAGAAAATAGCCTGGAAAATGTAGGTTTTCACTCCTTTTCTACCTCACTTCTGTTGGTGGGAAAAACCAAACTCTGCTGCGGATCTACTGTCAAGGAGAGGAATTTTGCTTTTCCAAGGCTGTTTTCTCCCAAAATTCCAGGCAGAGCCACGCCAGGCTGGTGTCAGGCCTTGTTTTTTTTTTTTTTTTTTTTTTTTTTTTTTTTTTTTTTTTTTTTTTTTTGCTATCCCAGTGACCTCCACGGGTTCATTTTTGCTGTGTAAAGGAAAAAACTCTCCTGTATCAGTATTAAATTTACAGATTTTCAATCCCAGTGGCTGCTCTGGGCTCTTTTGGGGAGGGATCCATGCGGGAAAACATTTTGGGAGGGGAGTTGTCCTTTCTCCTAAAAACTCTCTTGCTTTAAAAACTGCTTTAAAGTGTTTTAAACCACTTTAAAGTGCCTTAAAAGTGTTTCACAGTGCTTTAAAGCACATTAAAAACTGCTTTAGAGTGCTTTGAACCCCCTGTTCCACCTGCAGGAGGGAGCTCTGAGGGGCTGGAAGTGCCCTCAGGGGGCTGTGGGGACACTTTTGGGGACAACTGGGCAGTTTTGGGGACAACCGGGGCCTTTGCCAGCAGGTGGCACCAGGGGCTAAAATATCCCCCAAACCCCCAAAATTTGGGGCTGCCCAAACGTTGGGGTGCTCCTGGGTGGGGTCCCACTGAGGCATCTGGTGTTTCCTACGGCGCTGGTGCCTTTTTTGGGGGGGAAAATGCTGCTTTTGGGAAAGATCATCTTTTTATTTTGCTTGAGAGCCAATCAGCTGCAGGCTTTGGTTATCCTGAAAAGCAGAGCCTGAAATTTAGCTGGAACTGGTCAGTGAAAATTGCATTTCTCCAGGGTTTGTTATTTTTTTTTGGGCTGACCCTGCTACAGAGTCAAAGCTGGATTGTCTGGGATGAAACCAAATATTTCTCTTTATCTCCCTTTTCTTGGGCTTTTCCTTTGTATATATTTTATTTTGTGGCTTTCTCAGTTAAAAAATTCTAACAAAACTGTTCCTAAAAGATTTGCCATTTTGGGGAAAAAAAAAAAAAAACAACAAAAGATTTTAATTTTGGAAGCAGCAGGAGATGTGCTGACAATGTCACATCCCCTCCCAAAAAACCCCACCTTGATTTGGTGCAGGGGGAGAAAACTTTGCTTCTGGAGCTCTGCCCAGCCTCTGCTCTAGGTCAGATTCTCAAGGCAGCAGCCCTGGGATTTATGGACATTCAACACCAGGAGTTTTGGGGATGCTGGCAGCAGCACAGGGCAGGAAAACACAATCCCTGCCAGTCTCCTGATTTTGGGAATATCCTTTAAAAGGTGAGGAAGATCCCACTCTCCTTTCTGAAACACTGGATCCAGGTGGGCTCAGGGTCAGGATTTTGCCCTGGTCAAGGATGTGCAAACCAACCTGGGATCTTTTTGTGGGATCTGTGGGATCTGAGATGATAAATTCCGGAGAGTTTCTGTATTTCCAGGTCAGCACAAGTTCCTGTCCTCAGCAGAGAACTCAGGGTCAGGATTTTGCATTTGTGAGGGGTTTGAAAAACAACCTGATGAGTTTTTTGTGGGATCTGAGGCACCAGGAAATTATAAATTCTGTAGGGTTTCTCTATTTCCAAGGCAGCACAAGCTCCTCTCCTCAGCAGAGAAGGATCAGGGTCGGGATTTTGGGCTTGGCCAAAACAACCTGGTGGGTTTTTCGTGGGATCTGTGGCACCAGGAAATGATAAATTTTAAAGGATTTCTCCATCTCTAGGGCAGCACAAGCTGCTCTTAGCAGAAGATCAGGGTCAGAATTTTGCCTTGGCCAAAACAACCTGGTGGAGTTTTTTTTTGTGGGATCTGTGGTATCAGGAAATTATAATTTCTGGAGGATTTCTCTATTTCCAGGACAGCACAAGCTCCTCTCCTCAGCAGAGGAGGATCAGGGTGGGGATTTTGGCCTTGGCCAAAACAACCTGCTGGGTTTTTTGTGGGATCTGTGGCCCTGGGAATTGACAAATTCTGGAAGGTTTCTGTACTTCTGGGTCAGCACAAGCTGCTCTCCTGAGCATAGGAGGATCAGGGTGGGGATTTTGCATCATGTCAGGAGTTTGCTAAACAGCCTGGTGGGTTTTTTGCTGCGATGTGAGATGATAAATCCCGGAGGATTTTCTCCTCTCTCCAGCAGAACCGACCTTTCCTGCTCTGGGTGGAAGGGAGGCATTTTCCTCCAGCTCCAAATCCCTCCCGCCGCGGCTCCCGAGGGTTCTCCAAGGTTCCAAAGGGCGGCTCTGAGCCCGGATCAGCCCCGAGCCGGAGTTTTGTGGTCCTGCAGAGAGGCAGGGATGGGCTGAGGGCTCAGATCCCGCTGCTGCTTCAGCAGGAATCAGCTTTAGCTCGGGAATTGTGCTCACCACCCTCCGGGCACTCCGGGATGCGCTGCTTCTCCTCCAGCTCCCATCCCCTCTGGAATTCCTGCCCCTCTCCCGTGAGTGTCTTCCCTGAAATCCTCCTTCAGCCTCGCAGGTTCTCCATCTCTCCCCTCCCTCCTGGTTTTTGGGAGGTCTCTGTGGATTCCTTCCCTCTCAGGTTCTCCATCTCTCCCCTCCCTCCTGGTTTTTGGGAGGTCCTCTGTGGATTCCTTCCCTCTCAGGTTCTCCATCTCTCCCCTCCCTCCTGGTTTTTGGGAGGTCTCTGTGGATTCCTTCCCTCTCAGGTTCTCCATCTCTCCCCTCCCTCCTGATTTTTGGAGAACCGACCTTTCCTGCTCTGGGTGGAAGGGAGGCATTTTCCTCCAGCTCCAAATCCCTCCCGCCGCGGCTCCCGAGGGTTCTCCAAGGTTCCAAAGGGCGGCTCTGAGCCCGGATCAGCCCCGAGCCGGAGTTTTGTGGTCCTGCAGAGAGGCAGGGATGGGCTGAGGGCTCAGATCCCGCTGCTGCTTCAGCAGGAATCAGCTTTAGCTCGGGAATTGTGCTCACCACCCTCCGGGCACTCCGGGATGCGCTGCTTCTCCTCCAGCTCCCATCCCCTCTGGAATTCCGGCCCCTCTCCTGTGAGTCTGTCTTCCCTGAAATCCTCCTTCAGCCTCTCAGGTTCTCCGTCTCTCCCCTCCCTCCTGGTTTTTGGGAGGTCTCTGTGGATTCCTTCCCTCTCAGGTTCTCCATCTCTCCCCTCCCTCCTGGTTTTTGGGAGGTCTCTGTGGATTCCTTCCCTCTCAGGTTCTCCATCTCTCCCCTCCCTCCTGGTTTTTGGGAGGTCTCTGTGGATTCCTTCCCTCGCAGGTTCTCCATCTCTCCCCTCCCTCCTGGTTTTTGGGGAGGTCTCTGTGGATTCCTTCCCTCTCTCCTCTCCTCCAGCTCATCCCAAACACTGAGCTCGCCCGGGATTTGAGAATTGGACGCTCGAGGATCAGAATTGACGCTTGAGAATTGAGAATTAATTAAGCTCTCACCCACCAAGTTCTTCTCTCAGGGCTGGTCTCAATAAATGACAATAATAAAAGGATGGGTTTGCGCTCCAGAAAGGCACATTCCCAAAAAACCAGATTTAGAAAAGGTGGTAAAACTGAAATAATGAAATGCAAATCATAAATGTGGTGGTTCATTACTGAGCTGTGCCTGTAGGCTGAGCTCAGTGGTGGCAGGCCTGGCAGCACAGCAATCCCAGGATTTTGGATGGCACGTTCCCCGTGCCAGGATGTTGTGGCTCCTCATTCCCATGGGTTTTCCTGGCGTTGGTTGGGATTGATGGCCTGGGAGGGTTTCCCAACCCCTTTGGCTCTGAAATTCCATCATTTTGACCCAATTTTCCCACTGGGATGGCCTTGGTGGGACATCCATCCTTGCTGGTGACACTTGGGGGAACACGGATCTGCGATGACCTTGCAGTGGTTGGATTTCATTATTTGGGAAAGCTTTTCCAACCCCTTTGGCTCCGAAATTCCTTAATTTTGGTCCAGGCCTGGGGAGAGCTGCCTGGCCAGGCCATGGCACCGCGGGGACAGCAAGGCCTGTGACAGATTGAGTCCAGAGAAGGGACAAAGGAGCTGGGGAGGGAATGGAGCCCCAGGAGGGCTGAGGGAGCTGGGAAGGGGCTGAGCCTGGAGCAAAGGAGGCTCAGGGGGGCCCTTGTGGCTCTGCACAAGTCCCTGCCAGGAGGGGACAGCCGGGGGGTCGGGCTGTGCTCCAGGGAACAGGGACAGGAGCAGAGGGAACGGCCTCAGCCTGGGCCAGGGGAGCTCAGGGTGGAATCAGCAGGAATTTCCCCATGGAAAGGGGCTCAGGCCTTGGCAGGGGCTGCCCAGGGAGCTTTGCAGTGCCCATCCCTGGAGGTGTCCAAGAATTCCTGGATGTGGCACTCAGAGCTCCGGGCTGGGTACATAAGGTGGGGATCGGGCACAGCTTGGTCTCGATGGTCTTGAAGGTCTTTTACAACCTCAGTGCTTCTGCGATTCTGTGCGCAGCAGCTGAAATAGTGAAAATTCACCAAAACGCGAAAAAAAAACAACCAAATGCCTTCACGGGGCCGGGTGGCCCCGCGCGGACTACAACTCCCACCAACCCCCGCGCGGCCCCGCGAGGAGGCGGGGCGCGGTATCGCTCTGCAGGGAATGCCGGGAGCTGTAGTCGCGGCGGGGCGGAGCACGGGCGGGAGGACTGCATGTCCCGGCATGCAGTGCGGCGGCGAGGGCGGCGGGGCGGGGCGAGGCGGGGCCGGCGGCCCTGAGGGAGCCGGAGCGGACGCGGAGCGGAGCCGGAGCAGTCGGCGGCGATGTCGGTGCAGGTGGCGGTGGCCGCGCCCGCCGTGGAGCTGAAGGAGCTCGGCGGCCCCATGGACAAGGCGGCGGGGCCGCCGTGCGAGCCTGTGGGCGCTCACGCAGCGGGGCACGGCGTGGCGGCGCCCGCCTGCCCCGTGCCGGGCGCCGAGCGTGAGGCGGCCCCGGCCCCCTCCGCCGAGCGGCCTCCGGGGGGCGGCTGCCCCGGGCTCTCCTCGTCCGCCGGGCTGTCCTCGGCCGCCGCCAAGGTGCCGCAGGCTTCGGCCATGAAGAGGAGCGACCCTCACCACCCCCAGCACCGGCACCGCGACGGCAGCGACAGCAGCGGCGCCGCGGCCGAGGCGCTGGTGAGCCCCGACGGCACCGTCACCGAGGCGCCGCGCACCGTCAAGAAGGTAACGGGGGCGACAGCGGCGGGGGGCCCTCCTGGCGGGGCTGTGCGGGGCATCCCCGCGGGCACAGCCCCGCAGCCGGCCCGGGGCTCGGGGACGCGGCGCTGCCTCGGCCGGGCAGGGGCCGGCCCGGTGCGGGGTCCCGGGGCGCGGGGGGTGTTGGTGACCCCGAGGGGCTGCCGTGGCCGCGGGGCCGCTCCAGGGCTGTGGCTGCATTTTGGGGACGTGTTCTGCCGTGCCTGGGGGGGTCTGTCTGCGCCTTGTCCCCCCCACCCCGTGTCTATGCAGTGGGGACATGTGGGGTGACACTGGTGCCTTTACACCCCGTTCCCAGACCCCCAGGTGACACTGGGTGCCTTTACACCTCACTCCTGCACCCCCAGGTGACACTGGCTGTGTTTACCCTCCATTTCTGGGCGGGAGGACTGCATGTCCCGGCATGCAGTGCGGCGGCGAGGGCGGCGGGGCGGGGCGAGGCGGGGCCGGCGGCCCTGAGGGAGCCGGAGCGGACGCGGAGCGGAGCCGGAGCAGTCGGCGGCGATGTCGGTGCAGGTGGCGGTGGCCGCGCCCGCCGTGGAGCTGAAGGAGCTCGGCGGCCCCATGGACAAGGCGGCGGGGCCGCCGTGCGAGCCTGTGGGCGCTCACGCAGCGGGGCACGGCGTGGCGGCGCCCGCCTGCCCCGTGCCGGGCGCCGAGCGTGAGGCGGCCCCGGCCCCCTCCGCCGAGCGGCCTCCGGGGGGCGGCTGCCCCGGGCTCTCCTCGTCCGCCGGGCTGTCCTCGGCCGCCGCCAAGGTGCCGCAGGCTTCGGCCATGAAGAGGAGCGACCCTCACCACCCCCAGCACCGGCACCGCGACGGCAGCGACAGCAGCGGCGCCGCGGCCGAGGCGCTGGTGAGCCCCGACGGCACCGTCACCGAGGCGCCGCGCACCGTCAAGAAGGTAACGGGGGCGACAGCGGCGGGGGGCCCTCCTGGCGGGGCTGTGCGGGGCATCCCCGCGGGCACAGCCCCGCAGCCGGCCCGGGGCTCGGGGACGCGGCGCTGCCTCGGCCGGGCAGGGGCCGGCCCGGTGCGGGGTCCCGGGGCGCGGGGGGTGTTGGTGACCCCGAGGGGCTGCCGTGGCCGCGGGGCCGCTCCAGGGCTGTGGCTGCATTTTGGGGACGTGTTCTGCCGTGCCTGGGGGGTCTGTCTGCGCCTTGTCCCCCCCACCCCGTGTCTGTGCAGTGGGGACATGTGGGGTGACACTGGTGCCTTTACACCCCAATTCTGCACCCCCAGGTGACGCTGGGTGTGTTTACACCCCATTTCTGCACCCCCAGGTGACACTGGCTGTGTTTACACTCCATTTCTGCACTTCCAGGTGTCACTGGGTGCCTTTACACCCCGTTCTCTCACCCCCAGGTGACACTGGCTGTGTTTACACCTCACTCCTGCACCCCCAGGTGACGCTGGGTGCCTTTCCCCCCTATTTCTGCACCCCCAGGTGACGCTGGGTGCCTTTACACCCCAATTCTGCACCCCCAGGTGTCCCTGGGTGCCTTTACACCCCAATTCTGCACCCCCAGGTGACACTGGATACCTTTCCCCCCTATTTCTGCACCCCCAGGTGTCCCTGGGTGCCTTTCCACCCCACTCCCTCAGCCCAGGTGTGTGATCTCCAGGGTGTGTGGGTTCACACCAGGTTCACGTTCCCAGGGTTATCTGGGGAATGTGGATAAGATAAAAATGTCCCGGGCGCCGCTGGTGACGTGGGGCAGGGCCAGGTGTGCCCATACCTGGCTGTGGGCTGTGTCGGGGGGGTTTTGGGGGTGCCCCTCTCCCAGGGGTGCTGTGGATCCTGGCGAGTCCACCCCTGTGTCTGCAGCTCCTCAGGGGGACACAGGGGCTCCCTGGAGTAGGGGGTTGTGTGTTCCCTGCTGTGCAGGCAGGGAAATGCACATTTCCCCTGCTTTTTGGCATCCTTCCCGTTGGGAATCTCAGGAGGAGGAGTTGTCCCCTCTGAACCTTTTGGGGGGTGTAGGGAAAGAAGTGTCCCTGTCCTGAGGGAGCCTCTCACCTCATGAAACTTGGGGGTGAAGACCTCACCTCCCCTGCTGATGCACTTCCATCCTCTTTTGGAGTTGCTCTAAAATTTCCTCTCCCTTTGGAGGGCCCGGGGTGAGAGGTCTTTCATTTCCTTCTGGGTGGCTTCCCTGCAATTCCAGTTTCACCTTGGAGGGAGCACAAGGTCTGGATCTTGGTTTCTCTCTCCCCCTAAATCCCTCCTTTAGGGTTAGGAGGGGGCTCAGCTGCTGTAAAGGACACTTTCCCCTGAGATCCTGACTCCCACCCCAGTGTTTGGAGTCCTTTCTCTTTGATATCCTAATCCCATCTCTATTTTTAGAGACCCTCAGGGCATCCCTGTTTCTCCTCAAATGTGCTTAAACTCTTCATCCCACCCCTCTCCATTTTTTTTCCTGGGTTCAATCACAAAAAGAGATTTCACCCTTTTTTCAGAGGGTGGCTGGGAACCTGAAACAGCTTCAACCCTGCATCACTCCCTGGCTGCTCCTCATCCCAGGAGCAGAGCCCCAGATCCAGGAGGAGCCCGGAATTCCCAGCTGGCTCCTGCATCCCTCTGCCTGGGATGTGCTGGAGAGGACCTGGGAGTACAAACTGTTCCTTCTCCTGCTTTTCTCAGCCACTTCAGCAGGTTCCAGCCTCTCAAAGCAGGCTTTTCATTCGTGCAGCTCCTCTCCTCCTCAGGAGGAGTTAGTGAAATAAATAATATTCAATATCCTGGTCTTATTGGAATAAAACCAGCTTTGGGAGCCATCGAATTGTCCCCAGGCCCGTGGCTGTAAAATTGGGCAGGTGGAGCTGAAGCATCTGGCAAAAGGAGGTTTAGAACAAAAATAAGATCACTTTTTTTACTCAGATCCAACAGAACTTTGCTGAAATAGAGGTGAAAGTCTAATTAAAATCGATTAAATTTGTAATGGAACTGTGATTCTTACAAGTGTTTGGCAGAAACAAAATCTCAGTATTTTTTTTTTTCTTGGCTGGTTTATATAAATATATTTTTTCTTGGTTTGTTTTTTTTTTTTCCTTTTCTTGGAATCCTAACACCCATCCTTGAGATACCATGCCACTAAATTGTGATTCTGCAATTCTGAGACAAAAAGAGTTCCCAGAAAATTGCAGTGACTCTTTTCCTCTTTTCACTCTCATTTTAAATCTTCTTTTCTGTCAGTTCAGCATTTTATTGATCTGTCTCCCTTTAGATTTTCTGATTTGTGTTTCACCTTGATAGGGTGTAAGATAGGAAGGAATAGATGGAGTAGATGATATTTTTATATGTATTTATATGCAGACGTTATAGATAGTGCTGGGCTTTTCTGTGCCAGCTGCAGTGATCACATCCTGGGGAAAATCCCTGGAATTGTTGTTCCCTTTGGACTCTTGCTGGAAATGCTGGGATTCCTCATTCCTGGGGTGGACTTTTGCAGGTGAAAGTTCACCCAGTTCTGACCCTCAGCCACAAGAAAACTTAAATTTAATCAGATTCAGGTCTTGATTTAATGATTGTGAAGTGACAGCTCCGTGCCACTTTCTTCAGCTGGGAGAAGAATCACAGGATGGGTTGCAAGTGACCTTAAAGCTCATCCAGTTCTGACCCTCAGCCACACGAAAAACTGAAATTTAATCAGATTCAGATTGATATAATGATTGTGAAGTGATAACTCTGTGCAGCTTTCTTCAGCTGGGAGAAGAATGGTGGAATCTCGGGAAGGGTTGGGTTGGAGGGGACCTTAAAGCCCATCCAGTTCAGACCCTCAGCCACAAGAAAACTTAAATTTAATCTGTTTCAGTCCTTGATTTAATGGTTATGAAGCGACAGCTCCCTGCCCCTTTCTTCAGCTGGGAGAAGAATCACAGGATGGGTTGCAAGTGACCTTAAAGCTCATCCAGTTCTGACCCCTGCCACACGAAAAACTGAAATTTAATCAGATTCAGATTGATTTAATGATTGTGAAGTGACAGCTCCGTGCCACTTTCTTCAGCTGGGAGAAGAATCACAGGATGGGTTGGGTTGGAAGGGGTCTTAAAGCCCAACTCAGCCACACGAAAAACTGAAATTTAATCAGATTCAGATTGATTTAATGATTGTGAAGTGATAACTCTGTGCAGCTTTCTTCAGCTGGGAGAAGAATGGTGGAATCTCGGGAAGGGTTGGGTTGGAGGGGACCTTAAAGCCCATCCAGTTCAGACCCTCAGCCACAAGAAAACTTAAATTTAATCTGTTTCAGTCCTTGATTTAATGGTTATGAAGCGACAGCTCCCTGCCCCTTTCTTCAGCTGGGAGAAGAATCACAGGATGGGTTGGGTTGGAAGGGGTCTTAAAGCCCAACCAGTTCTGACCCCTGCCACACGAAAAACTTAATTTTAATCAGATTCAGATTGATTGAATGGTTGTGAGGTGCTCGGGGCTCTGGGAGTTCCTGCTCCCAGGAGCTGGGGAGGTGTGGGATGAAGGTTCCAGACCCTCTCCGGACCCTCTCTCCGTGCTCTCCTGCCGTGGCTCCAGGCTGAGGATGCAATTCCTCAGTTCAGGCTGAGTGAATTCCCTGTGGGATGAATCTCCCGAGAGTGGGGTCGGGGAGGAGCTGGGAATGGAGAGGGAGCTGGAAAATCCCCTCAGGAGCAGCTGGATGCTGCCCTGGCTGGGCTGTGGGTGGATTTGGGGTCAGTTGGGCCCCGTTCCCGCTGCCAGGTGAATCCAGGTGTGCACAGCTGTGAGTCAGGCCCTGAGTCACCTGGGCTGGCTCCATTTTGGGGTTTTGGTGGTGTTTTGGTGATGAGGTGATGGCTCATCAGCTCTGCGGCGTGGTGGATGCTGGTGTTGTGTGAATTCTTAGAGCATTCCCAGATCCAAGCAGCAGAAAGTCACAGAACTTCTGGGAATCCTGTCATTAGTGAGAGGGGAGCCTTAATTAAGACCCCCAAACTGATTAACTGGGCAGTCTTAGCCTTGTCATGGCAACTCCGTGCCCCTTTCTCCCTGGGAGAAGAATGGTGGAATCATGGATGGGTTGGGTTGGAAGGAACCTTAAAGCCCATCCAGTTCTGACCCCTGCCACAAGAAAACTTAAATTTAATCAGATGTAGTTCTTGATTTAATCATTGTGAAGTGACAGCTCTGCGCCACTTTCTTCAGCTGAGAGAAGAATCATGGAGTGGGGTGGGTTGGAAGGGACCTTAAAGCCCAACCAGTTCTGATCCTCAGCCACAAGAAAAGTTAAATTTAAACAGATTCAGGTCTTGATTTAATGAAGTGACAACTCTGAAGAATGGTGGAATCACGGGAAGGGTTGGGTTGGAAGGGACCTTAAAGCCCATCCAGTGCTGCCCTTCAGGTACAAGAAAAAAAATTAAATTTAATCAGATTCAGATTGATTTAATGATTGTGAAGTGACAAGATGAAAGCTCTGCGCCACTTTCTTCAGCTGAGAGAAGAATCATGGAGTGGGGTGGGTTGGAAGGGACCCCGAGCACCTCACAGCCATTCAATCAGCCACAGAAAAAACTTAAATTTAATCTTTCTTGTGGCCAGTTCTGACCCCTGCCACAAGAAAAACTTAAATTTAATCTGTTTCAGTCCTTGATTTAATGGTTATGAAGCGACAGCTCCCTGCCCCTTTCTTCAGCTGGGAGAAGAATCAGGAGGTGGGATGGGCTGGGTTGGAAGGAACCTTAAAGCCCAACCAGTTCAGACCCTGAGCCACAAGAAAACTTCAATTGAATCAGTTCAGGTATTGATTGAATGGCTGTGAGGTGCTCGGGGTCCCTTCCAACCCACCCCACTCCATGATTCTTCTCTCAGCTGAAGAAAGTGGCGCAGAGCTTTCATCTTGTCACTTCACAATCATTAAATCAATCTGAATCTGATTAAATTTAATT